CCTTTTTTTGTCCAGCAGGAAAACTTGAACAACATTTGCATATTCATAGATTCTGGAATATTTTATGAGGTAGAAAATGGTAAATGGACTGTACTTGTGTAGCGCCTTTTTTGACCACTCAAAGTGCTTTTATACTACCTGCTACGAAGCCGGGAATCGAACCACCAACCTTCTGATTAGTGGATGACCAGCTCTAATTAAATGTGGAAATTATACTTTTTTGTGGAAAAAACACATCAGACACATATTATTATTCCATGCAGACTATTTTTAGTGTCTTAATATATGTCGGGAGGGAATCTTTAATACTTATTTAAATTGTCTTTCCTTTATTATAACTCAATCAAGAGCTTTTCCATTCCTAACTGTATTCCAATGTCTTTATGAAGTATACAGTACACTACATTACAGACAATAAAGCACAGCCAACTGCTCAACATATGTCACTTAGCTGCATTGATAGACATTTGTTCTGTGTATTACATGGAAGCTGCTTTACACAGTTAGCCCAGCTTGTCACTATATGGAAATGTTACATCTCAGGCATGCATTTTTTAACAGCAACCATATAATGATAGTGAGTGTATTGTAACAGATGAATGGCAGTGCATGGGTGTAGCTGTCACATTAGTGTAAACACACAGCAGACATGGAATGGTGGTCATTCTTCCATTTCCTGCCTCCCTGCATAGGGAGGAATGTTGACTTCGTTGACCTGTGTATGTCCTCTGGGGTTACACTCTATGGGTTATTTATTTTATGTGTGTGTGTGAATGCGTGTGTAGGCCTCTGAACAGCAAGCAGCACTAGCCACCAGAGGCAATAAAGGGAACTAAAACAAAAATGTTATGTATCATATAGGTATATGAATATTTAGAATCATGTTCATGTTTGAGTTGGAGAAAGTGTAGATGAGCCTAAAGGAGAAGAATTAGTTTTTTCCAGTCATACTTGCTTAGTCGCAGGCCTGTAGCTATCACTGGGGACAGTGAGGTCATGTGTTTGGTATCCTGTCTGGAAAGTTTTTTAGCAAAATTAAAAACACTTTTTAATTAGTTCAGTGCCAGTGCCAGACTCAATGCATTCAGATTTGACTATTTTTAGACGACTTAGGTCTATAACTGGGAATTTCTGTAGTTAGTTCTATTTATTGTTAGTTCGAAGTTATGAGAGCTCCAGTGCTGTGACCAGTCTACATTAATTGTTGCTGTACCCAAGCACCATATTGTTTTTGTATCTGGTTTGTCTATAACAAGAGATGGTAATGTAATTAAAACATTTGTTTTGGTGTCTCACAGTTAAATGAAAGTGACCAATGTTTTTTTTATGACAGCTTTTTCTCATCATAAGGTTTTTGAGTCACAACTAATTGCTTGTTGAATGCACAAGGGAACAAAAATAAAATGTCTGCCACTGTGTCTGCATGAGAGAGAGAGAGAGAGAGAGAGAGAGAGAGAGTATTTTTCTTGATATTTCAGAAAATGTAATCTGATCATCATGCTTTATGCTAGCATTTATTTTACACTGAAACAAGCATGATCTAAATATATGCAAATAGTAGGCAGACTGTAGGCAGAATATATTTACATTATTATTATACCATGGTCTGGGTGAATACTTCCTGTCCATTAATTCCTGATGAAGGACACAGAAGTAGTAAAACACTATGTAGTTTCAGTCAAATTGTCTACCATTTGAAATTGTGAAATGTGCTGAAATAAATTGAAGGAAAACAAAATCTGAACAGTTTATAAATATACCACACAGCACTGACTGTAGTCCTTCAGTGCCTCATTTTCTGGCCACCACAGGATGGTAACACACAAGCTCCTATACTGCCCCTGAACTTACTTACACATATATGTGTAGCAGCATACATGTGCTCTCTGTCATTCAGTGCTGC